GGGGTACATACATGTCATGGTTTTAGAATAGAACCTGGTATGTCATGAGTACCCGCGATCGTTGTCGTTCCTGTTGAAGAATCAAGTCTGTACAGCACCGCCCTCGGAAGGCAATTGTAAAGTAGGGGAGTCAGGGTTATGAGGGAAAGTAATTTCTGACACTGACGCTCGGCTTGGGAAGGAACGGTCACTGTCTAACATTTATTAACGGAATAAACACAGGAAAGAGTCACGAAGAAAACAATACTGGTTATCAGAAACCGTCTTCTCTTTCTGTGAGGGGCCGTCAGCCGGGCCCCCCAAACAGGTGACTGGGATGAGGGAGAACTAGCTGCAGGACCACAAAATAAAGATTCGGTCCATTCTCTTGGGAAGAAAGACCAGAGGACTTTCCAGCTACGGCTGCGACTCCGCAGTGACGCTGGGCCACACACAGACTCCAGGTCAGACCCCGTTTCATAGCTGTCACACCTCTCGATTTTCAAGGGCACCCTCCAAAATTCTAGATTCCTCCAGTTCGTGACTCCTCCAAAGAAGATCAAGTTGGTCGGTGACCTGGAACCCAGTTATGGCGACACAGTGAGCAAGGCTCAGTGTTGCTGTGGACACTAACAATCGGATATGATTTTAACTATCTATCTAACCTGAAATGACGACTTGCATTAAAGAATTTAAAATGCTAGCAATAAAACCTTCATGCCTGGCCTTTCAAAAAAACTTTATCACCAGACCTAGTTTTTCCAGTTGCTTTCAAGGTAATTCTGCCATACCAAATGTCTTATGGAAGCAATGCCTGTTTCTAGTGGTGATGTTGGCTTCCTAACTGCAATAGAAACCAGTCCCTGGGTAAACCATAACAATCAGGTTTTTGAAAAAGCATTTCTGGGCTTGCAAACAAATAAGGACCATCTTCAAAGAGTGTGAATTCCTCTCCCACAAGACAGAAGAGAAACTGCAAGCCCCCAGGGCAGACAGTTCTGGTAATGGATGACCCTGATGTCCTTGGGTGCAGACGCCAATCACAGCCCTGGAATCGGGGCTGCACCGCCTGCTGCGGGACGGGAAAACTGAACCTGAGAGTCCTCCGTGAGACCAGGGCCCTTGGCGAGAACAAACGCTGTCCCCAGTCAGTAAGGCTCACGGCTCCCAGCAGAGGCAGATGCCAATCCTTGGAAGAAAGCAAACCTAACTTCGGTCCTCGGGGCTTCCCCTTTAAAAGATAAGGAAAGTGGCACATCATGAGTGGGAACAGAAAATGCAAGTGTAGCTTCTCAAGGTTTTGAGATAATTGAAATTATCCAAAGCACTACAAAATGTATATGGTGACTTTGGCTTCTGGGAAGGTGGAGTGGACATACTCTTCCCCATCCCTTTACTTAAGTGCAACTAAAATCCCCAAACTTGCTGTGTGAAAAAACAGAAGACTGAAAGCTGGAGAGAAGGCAGACCTGCCAGGGGCCTCGGGACCCAAGGCACGGCATGGTGCTGCATCCCCTGGGTTTTCTTCTCTGCTTCATCTCACTCTGACTTGTAGCCAAAGAAGCCAGCAACCCAAAAGCACCAAAGAGCACAGTCCAAAATAACAGCAATAAGAAAGCCTGCTCTGTCTAGCCAAAGGAGTAGGAAACAGATGATCTAGCAAGACGGGAAAGTTTTAGAGGATACGTTCTGACCTCCAGCCAAACGAGAGAGAGAAAAACTGCGGAACCCCTCCCCCTCCTCTAGCTAGCAAAGGTCAAGAGGACATTTAGACTTCAGCCTCACCGGGCTCTCACAGGGTACCCTCATGCAGTCCCCTGCCACCACTACCAGGACAATATCAGAAAAGGCAGAGTAGGGAGCGACCAGCAGTAACAAGTGTCAGCGCCCCTCCTCCCCACAATGACCTCTCTAACAGTGCTGGAAGTTCTAACCAGTGCAATAAGGCAAGAAAAGAAAGGCATACAGACCGGGAAGCAAAAAATGAAACATTCCCTCTGTATAGATAACATGATGGTCTGTGTAGAAAATCCCTAGAAATCTACCAAAAGTATCCCTTAGAACCAATGAGTGAGCTCATCAGCAAGGTCACAGCACACAAGGTAAACACACAAAAATCAACCGCAGTTCTGCATCCTAGAACCCATGGATGCTGAAACCGAAAACAGAATGGCATTTATAACTTCCTTTTTAAACTAACTTCCTTACCGAGGTGAAATTCACTTAACCTGAAGTTAACCATTTTAAACTGAAAAATTCAGTGGCATTTAATACACTCACACTGTTGTGCACCGGCTCTATCCACTTCCAAAATTTTTATCGTCCCCAGGGAAAGCCCAGATTATTAAGCAGTGACTCCCGTTCCTTCCTCCCCCTGCTGCCTGGCAACCACCAATATCCTTTCTGTCCCTATGAATTTACTATTCTGGATGTTTCACATGAAAAGGAATCATGCAATAGGTGGCCTTTTGTGCCTGGCTTCTTTACTTAGCATCCTGCCCTTGAGGCTTACCAACATTTAGCACTGTTTTTTTTTTTTACGGCTGTGTCCTGTTCTGTTGCATGAGTATACACACTCTGTTCATCCATCCAGCCAAGGGGCCTGCGTGCATTTGCGGCTGGGAGTGGAAGGCGGCACAGCTGCTCTGGAAAACAGTTGGGCCATTTAAGAAACTAAACGTAGCCCTGGCTGGCGTAGCTCAGTGGATTGAGTGCGGGCTGCGAACCAAAGTGTCACAGGTTCGATTCCCAGTCAGGGTACATGCCTGGGTTGCAGGCCATGACCCCCAGCAACTGCACATTGATGTTTCTCTCTCTCTCTCTCTCTCTCCCCCCGCTCCCTTCCCTCTCTAAAAAATAAATTAATAAAATCTTTAAAAAAAAGAAACTAAACGTGCAACTGCTCCCACACCCAGGAGGTGCACTCCTGTGCATTTCTCCAAGAGGAATGGACACTTGTGGTTCACATGTAGACCTGTACATGGTTGCCTAGAGCAGCTTTAGTTACAAGGGCCAAGACCTGCAAATCTGGGTTATTGGGAATGGTTCAGCACGCTGTGTGGTCATACTGTGAAACTACCTACTCACCACTAAAAAGGAAAGAACTACGTACTGATACATGCAGTGACGTGGATGAATCTCCAGAGAATGGGCTGAGTGAACCCAAAACAATGCTCAAGTGTTACATACTGTATGCGTCCATTTACATAACATTCTTGAAATGACAAGTTGCAGAAATGGAGAACAGCCTAGTGGCTGCTGGTGGTTCCAGAGGGGGTGCTGTGGTATGAACAGGCAGCATCTTTGCAGTGATGGAAACGCTCTGTATCCCGACCGCATCGACACCAGCATCCTGGGTGTCGTCATATTGCCAGGTGTCACCATTGAGAGAAACTGGGTTAAAGGAACATGGCTCTTTCTGCATCATTTCTTAAAGCTGCACGTGAATTTATAATTATCGCAAAATAAAAAGTTAAATGAAAAACAAAAATTAATTAACTATGCACTAAAAAAAAGATGGAATCAGCATAGGAGACTTAAAAAAATGACCAAGTAAACTAGAAATAGAACCAGAAGACTCTTAGAAAGCCAATGTATTATTGTTGAAGTTAAAAACTTAAATGGATGGTGTGCTGGTTTCCTATTGCTGCTGCAACAAGTTACCACAAATCGAGTGACTTAAGACAAAACAAGTGTATTATCTTACCGTTCTGGAGGGCCGCAGTCTTAAATGGGTCTCACTGGGGCTCCAGTCACAACGTCAGCAGGACCACGCTCCTTTTGGAGGCTCCCTGGGAGAATCTGTTTCCTCTGCTGCTCCGGCTTCTAGAAGCCACACACGTTCGTGGGCTCATAGCCCCGTCCTCCATCATCAAGGCCAGCAACATCCGGCCATGTCCTCGTGGGGCCGCCGTCTCTGATTCACCTGATTCCCTTTCCCTCTTGTAAGGCCCCTTAGGATTGCATTGGGCCCACAGACAAAAATAATCCACGATCATGTCCGCATCTCACTGCCAGCTGATGAGCACCCTTCATCCCATCTGTTGCCTTAGTTCCCCTTGGCCATACTCATAGGCTCCGGGTGTGGGAGGGGGACCTCACGGAGGAGGTGGGGAGACTGGTCTCCCTTTCAATTATTTACAGGTTCAATTATGTACCAAATGATTCATGAACAGAAAGAAAAAAAATGGAAGAAATTACTCAGAATGCATCCAGACAAACAGGATATGGAAAAAATGAAAGTGTTCAAAAGACATGGAAAGTAAAATTCAGAATGCTAGAAGTTCATAGCAGGGCACACGGGAGGAATGAGCATCTTTGGCATCTTCTTTTTGGGGCTTGGAAGTTTGCCCACTGAAGCCCATCTATTTTGCATTTGCAAAGTTTCACTTTTGAAGATCTGTTTCTCAGAAGGCAGCCTGTGATGGGAATCTCAGTGTTCATGAGCACACGTGGTCTCACGATGGGGTGTGTGTCAGTGTGAATAGGTGACAGTTTTGTGCAGCATCCCTATGCCCAGTACAGCCCTTCCCCATCTCAAACATTTAAAGCAGATTCTATTGGGGAAATGTATTGCTGTTAAAATCCCTTTACAAGTCGTCACAGAATAATGCACAGAACACAAAACGTACAACTGCCAAGAAGACATTCGAGGCCAAGGAAGAAAACTTACATTTTCAAGTCTGAGAGCTCGTGTGGCATTTTAACAAGAGTTTCACTGTCCCGTGGCGGGGTGGGGGGAGGGTGTTGGTGGAAGAAAGAGACTTGACTTTGGGTGGTGAGCGCACCATGCAGTATGAAGATGATGTTATGCACTTGAAACCTGTATGGTTTTATTAACCAATGTCACCCCCATACATTCAATTAATAAAAAAGTTTCACTGTCATACCCAGGCGTTGCCTCCAGTTGCAGCTGCTGGGTTGGCACTTTTAGGGGGCCGGGCCTGGGCCCCTGGCGGAGGCTGGCCTTGGCTCAGCTGACGAGACAAGTTCCCAAGTGTCACTCCTGGGCGCACTCTCGGGCCTGCCCACTCGCCCCTGCGCTGCGCGGTGGCTTGACCGCCAATGCTCAACAGGTAACGCCCCAGGCCAACTTACCGGCCCTCCCTCACACGGCGGGGGAGTGGCCGCCCCCCTACGGCCACCCTGCACGCTGCCCGGGCCTCCCCTCGCAGCCAGAGAGAGGGGCGCGGCTGCTACTCTCGTCCGGCCACTTCCCGTTCTGGGCCGGCCCAGCGGCGGAGGCTCCTGCCTTGTTCCCCGCTCCGCTGCGGGCGGAGGGCTGCAGCCTCCGCCTCAGTGTCTCGGTCCACGCGCTGCCTGCTCTGCAAACCTGGAGGCCAAGTAAGTCCCAGCGCCGGGGACCGAGTTTGCAGGGGGCAGATATGCCCCGGGCTCCGGAGTGCAGCGAGTGGGGGGCAGGGGGTGGGCGGGAGGCTGCACCCCGGTGCGCGGGTAGCGGGGTGGGGGGGCTGCAGGCGGCTCTGAGAGAGCTCCCTGGGCGGCCGACCGGAGGCAGAAACCCGAGGGTTTGAGGAGCGCCAGCAAAGTTCAGAGGCAGGAACTTTGGCGGCAGCGGAATCGTTGGTCCCAGTGGGGTCTGGCCAGGGCTTTCCAATCCTGCCTGCCCCTTCGAATCACCGGGGCGCCTTTAAAATCCAGATGCCCAGGCCCCACCGCAGACCAATCCTTCGGAGCCCCTGGGGCTGGGACCCAGCCTCTGGACCATTGAAACGTCCCGGGTGATACCAGTGTTGCAGTCAGAGCATCGGACTTGCCCGCCCCCCGCCTCCCGTCCCCTCCCCCGCCCCGCTTCCAGCACAGAAAAGAAGGGGAGACAGTTCCACCCAGCGTGGCCTGGGTGGGGTGTGCAAGAGAGGCTCAACCGTTCAGTCCTTCGATGTTGTGCAAAACAAAGGAATGCCCTCTCAGTTCTGTGTTCTGGGAAATGCCCCCATTGTTGGCATTTCACATTAAGCTGAGGGCAACCTGTAAACTTGTGGCCTTGACCACTTCTGGGTTTTCTGCTTTGGGGATGAAGCCAGGTGTGCCTGCCTCGGGGCTGGTCCAGCTTGTCCCTCCTTCTGAAAGTAAATCTAAGGTTTCCCACGAGCAGAGAACCACAACCTCTACCACGGATTCTAGGAGTGCCCAGGGTGGACCTGCCTCACCCTGGGGTGGATGCTGGGGGCGGGTAGCTGGAGACAGGCTTCCTCCGGGATATGCTGGGCAGAAAAGAAAGGAGGGCTTAAAACTAGCAACATCTGAGAGGTGGGAGAAACCTGGACTTTCGGAGGGTCTGAGAAGTCGTTTTTATTTTTGTGGACTGGGGACATAAGGGCAAGCTCTGGAGTTCATCAAACATGGGCCCCAATTCAGATTCCGTCCCCTGGGACCTGGGACCATGGGCGAGTGAGGTAACCTCCCCGAGCCCGCTCCTCGCCTGTGCGATGGGGGTGGCCGTTGTGACTGTGCTGGGGCTTACGTCGTGAAATGAGACAGCATGTGTCCGATGCCTGGGTGGGAGGCACGTGGCAGGTGCCATCACAGGTAGGTTTCTGGCACAGGAGCGGTGACTTGTGTTTGGAAACTGTGTATTCAGTACAGCCGCAACGAGGGAAAGTGTCTGAAAATTGTCTGCCTCACACACAACACTGTTCCCCTGCTCTCCTCCTGCCCCGCTTGGGGTGGGGACGGGCTGGGTGTGTCAGGGTGGGGTGGGCTGTGTGGCTCCAGGCTCCTCCTGCTTTGAGGTCTGGAATCTCAGGCTACTCCCCACCCAGAGGACTTACTAGTGAGTCTGGAATACAGTGTTACTCCTTGTGGTAGGAATACATTTCTCGATAAATGAAACTGGCCCTTCATCTTGAGACGCCCTCCGCCCCATTGCCACATGTGTCAATAAAACGGGCTCCCAAGAAAGCCGGGCTGTCTACAGGGTCTCAGGCTGGACACAGGGACACGCGCACGACGCTGCTGCTGGTGGCCTCCTTAGGCCACACCCTGGCCGTTGGTGTTTTCCCCCTGACTCTTGGCCTAGAGACAGTGCATTCTTCTTGGATGATCTAGAATAGTCAGGAATCTGGAGAGGGAGGGGACCGACATCCTACCTTTGTCAACGCTGGCAGAGTATTCCATCCTGGTCCCCAGTCTGTGTGTCGGTGACAATTAGTTTGATAGTAACGGCGGCACTGTTGAGCCATTAGAAATATAAGCAGTGACATAATATAGGCAGAAGGTCAAGTGTTCTCACAGTGTATATGCAATTGCTGACATTTAATTAAGGGAATATCAAATTCAAGGGTTTTTTTAATTCAAAGGAAAGCGTTCAGTATTTCTTCAAAATACTAAAGACCTAAACCTTTGAGGTTTAAGTTACCAGCTTTGTTTTGTTTTGTTTTGTTTTATGATTCTACTTTTTGGGGGGAGGGGATTTGAGGCAAGACAAAATTAGGAAAGCTAAAATTTTCACCTGTGCTGAGTTTTTGTCGAGCAGAAGCGATCGGCATTTTGCAAGTTTCTGGAAGTCCTGTTTTCTTTTATCCTCTGGACAAAGCCAGTTGCGTCTCACACCAAGAGCTGCTTTCATCCGCCCACAGAGTCTGACCTCGTCTTGAGGAAAAACTCCTCGGCACATCAGATGCTTACCGAGGGCGAGTGGTTTCTCTGACCTTGACTCGCATGAAGAAGTGCGTCGTCACTGCCGTTTCAATGAACCGACGGCTTTTACCCAGAGCCAGGTGTTTCTCACAGCGAGACTTCCTGGCTCGAGTCCTCATTCCCGTGTTTGACGCAGGACTGCCACAGACCAAACTGGGGGCAGGGATTACGAGGCAGAGCCAGCCAAGGCAAACTTGCCACCCTCCTCCCCCTCGCCATCCTTCCGGCCTCTGGAGCCACTGAGCCAGCCGGGCTGGGGCGCTGCCCCTCGGGGAGTTGGCTCCCTGCTGGGGCCGAGGGCCCCAACAAGGCCATGTTGTGTCACACTTCGTTAAAATCAATAGGGTACCCCTCGTAAAACGCCAATTTCAAATTTTTCTTACTGAATAGTCATGTCCCTGCAAATTATAGAAAACGATAGTGTAAGGAGTCATTAATAGGTCCACATGAAGGCCCAGGTGACTGCCAAGTGAGCACCAAATTAGCACCAGGTTTTGGTTGGTTAATATTTTAGTAAAACACGGAGTCCCCCTGTGACGTCTTTGCTGCATGATGCTGCGACCCCTCGCCCTCCTGTCTCATCACCACCACACGGGTCGGGTGGGACAGGTGCTGTGACTGGCCCGTGTTTTCAGAGCCACGTAGGGCCCTGGAAGTGTCTGGGGAGGACAGTCACGTATTGCTGCGGAAAAGCCTTCCGTGGTAGAAGACCTGCGAGCGGACGCTGATTTAACCCGGGGAAATGTTTGTGTTGTTCTAACTCCCAGAAAAGAAAAGCCGAATGAGTAAGAACTTCCTGTGATTCGTTTCCATCCATTTTTCCAATTGTTGTCTCTGGCCCCCAAACCAAACCTTCTAGAAGGAACTGGATGGGAAACTAGGCTTTGATTGGGGGGTTCCCTTCACAGAGAAGGCTGTGCCTGGCCTCTGTTCAGCAAAGGATGCAGTTTTACATTTCACGTGAACTCAGGCGCATGGACGATTTTGAGTGGAGACAAAAGACCTGTAGCGAATGCCAGACAGGTAGGCCGTTAATGGGAGAAACCCATTTTTCCCGTGGGGGTGGGTTTTAGTGTCAGAACAACTGCTTTATCCCTTCATCGACTGTTGGACCTCAGCCAACGTATTTAACCATTCCCACCCTGTGCCTCCTTTGTAAAATAGTTACCGTAATCCTTTCCTTAGAGCGGGTTTGAGGATCTGATGACATAATCGATGTAAAATGCATAGTGCACCACCTGGCTTTCAGTAAACGGTAGCTATTATGGTGATATTGATTATGAAGATTACTCGGGTTCAAGCGCTGGCCTTGCCATCTCCTGGCTGTGAGGCTTTGGATGAGGTACTTAACCCTTAGTGCCCGGTTCACACTGTGTGATGGGTATGACCCTACCTCTCTGGAAGGACTGGTTTGAGGCTATAAATGAAAGTCAACGCCGATGCGTCTGGCCACGTGGAGTCTACCAGACTGTGTATGGCACCGCTATGAAGGCTCTTAAGGTTGGGCTTTTCTTCCTTTTTTTCCAGCTCACTTAATCACCCCAACAACCCTATGCAGTAATCATTTCCCCCCCTTTCATGGATTAAGTAACTAGCCCCAAGCCAACAGGCAGTAAGTGTCGCCCCCGGGATTGGAGGCAGGGTCCCAGGAGCTAACCACGGTACCTGGGCTCAGTGAGTGCGCCGCCCTCTGCCCTCACCTCCCCCACCTTCTCGTGCCCCTTCCCTGTCGCTGGCTGGCAGGTGTGTTCCTAGAGCTGTGTTTCTGGACACGGGGCCTCAGCTTCCGAAGCACTTCCTGCTTAGGAATCCACCCTGGATTTGCAACTCTTAATCTCAGCCATTGCTTATGCTGGGTAATCTACTATCCCCTGGGTGGGATGGGGTAGGGGAGGGGAACCCCGATACTGGTATTGACTAACACTGTTAAAGTGGATTATGATGTTTGAGATAAGTATCCTCTGAGTGCACTGTTAGCCTGGTGCAATAACACCTGCCCGACAGGTGCGCGGGTGGTATTTGGGGAGACAGAAACCGGGCTTGGTGGTTCCCAGGATGGGAGTCAGGCAGACACGAGAGCAGGCAAACAGCATCCCATCGGAAGAGCAGTGGCCTGTTCCACGTACACTCGCTCCCTTGTAAAAACAGTTCCTTACTCATCACCCCTCCTAATTACACCCCAGCAGCTTTTGCCTCTTCGGGAGCTTTGGCAATTGTTCAAGAGCCCTGAGCCCGTGGAACCTGGGGCCCAGGAAAGCACGTCCTCCAGTGAGTGGGTTGTGGATGCTCTGGCATCTCTGACCCTGGCACGCGGTGATTGCTTTCCTGGCTTTCCCGCGGGCGGGAAGGGCTCTGCCGGCTCCCCAGCGTGGCGTTGGATGAAGGCTGTTGGAACGTAGCTCCTGGGTCCTCCTGGCTCACTGCGGCTGCGGCTGCGGTTCTCTAGCACACGGACTCCACAGAGACCATCAGGAGATGGCGCCAGTGCCAGGGGGTCTCCTCAGCGGCGAGGCATTGCCATGCATGGGACAGACCCCGCCCCGGCGAATCGGAGTGTGCAGGCTCCTGGAGGAGGGAGGGGTGGGACGCACATGAACGACTTGCAGAAGCGGGTAAGTCCCTTCGGTGATGTGAGACAGATTAGCGGAGCTGTGCTGGGGCCTGGGAATCTGGGGTGCGCCTCT